ATGTATTATTATTTGATTTATTCAAAAGAAATAACTGCCACAATGTTTGAATATTGCTTTCATAATAATAATAATAATAAAAGTTGCAGAAACTTTTTTGAAAGAGCACACTTGAAAACATTGCATAATATATAGGTATATATAGGTATATTTTATTTATTATTTTATATTATTATATACATTAAATTTTTTTATCTGATTTTTTTTTTATATATTCATTTATTTAAAAGAAGTAATTGTCACAATATTTGCATATTGCTTTTCCAGTACACACATGCATTGCAGAGACATTTTGAGAGAGCGCACCATCTGGAAAACATTGCATGCTATTTCAAGAGTCATATTTATATCCAAACAACCACTAAACAACCTAAAAATTACCATGCAATCTAAATATTAAACATCATATAAACATCTGAATGTTGTTCAAGCGGAGGAAGTTTAATGACGTGTAAATTGTAGCTACATTTAGACACACACCGAATGGGCATCTTGGTAATCGATCGTTTAAGTTTGTTTTGCAGTCCCTGAAAAAAGGGGGACATCGGTTCGTTGGGATCCAGTGGACCGTACTAGAGGACGTCTGCACTGGTGGCCGAGAGATTTTTTGCTCCAAATGAAAGATTGATTCTTTCAGACTGTGTGTGAGTTTAATCATAGTGGCAACATTGATTCATCAAATTTATGACTGAGTATGACTTTGCAGAAGCCTCCGGAAAAGTTGGGAAGAAATCTCTTGATTTATTAATTTTTTTCCCCCCTGTGTGTCACACTTTTATGAGTAGCTTTAGAAAGTTATGAAATCTGTTCTTGCAGATTTTCAGCCTGTAGAAATACAAAACGGAAGTAAAATCTCCTGTTCAGTGACTACAAAATTATACCACAATACAAATTACACGGCATACGTATGAAATCAAATCACCTCCCTGGAGAGATATTAAACAAATCCTAAATTAGCTCACCTTTTATGGCTATGAATCTCGCACGAAGAATACTTTAGCTCTATCTTAGGAGTGGGAGAGAGCTTATGAGAGCTGCTCTTCCACAGAGGATGCTGGGATTGATTGTACAGCCCATGCAGTCAGAGGGTCATGTTGTCTTTTTGCCTGTTATTGATGCTTCTAAAAAGAGGCTCACAAATTGCTCTGTTTACCCTGAGAATTCTGGCCCGGGGTTGAGTCGACCTGTAAAGTCGTTACCATGGCAACATCTCCCTCTGAGCTTGATGAAGGCCTGTCAGCGTGGTGAATGAGATTTTAACTCTAATGGCTCATATAGTGCAAAGCAGGAGCAAACATCATTTTCTTTCAGTGTACGGCTGGCATCTTTAGACAGTCTGTATCGGAAAACTATGAAGCTAAAAAACGTAAAATGCTTTTACGCCCAATGAAAACACTAATAATATAAACTATTATAAATATATCTAAGTGTACACAGTTTCTGTTGTGACAGATTTGTAAGTTTGCAAGTCGTGACCCAAAATGATTTTTGTTTTAGACAAAAAGGTCATGCTAAATGCTAATTGTAACTAACCATATATATAATTGATTATAGTTATTTTCGACATTTGCTGTTGATGTCAAAGCCCATATGCCCAACCTAACCCAACTTCGTTTTTAGAAGAAAGCTAAATTTTCACAAGCGTCAGTCAACATGGAGATGTTGCGTGACATTTCTAATCTGAAAATTTAGCTGTTGTGGTTGTATATATTATAGTATAAAAGTTAATTCTGTAATGCCAATTGCAACGCATAACATTTGTAATGTGATGCATTCGCAAGTACAACTGGAAGCTGCAAGGTTAAAATTTGTAAAGTTAAATAAAATCTTTAAATATTGTTGAGTAAATTAGTGGAAAACCTTATTTTGTGCTTGTATAGATTGTGTATAAAGCCTGTAGTTAAGTCTTTTAAGACAACAGACCTACATAATATGGAAGTCAATGGCTACCGGCAACTGTTTGGCGAGTGAATGGTGACAGTTTTCATTTTTGGGTAAACTATTATTTTAATATTGTATTTTTCCACAACCGTCACCTTGGTTACAAAAGCAGCATGTTGTTTTTGTGGTGGACAGCAGCCATTTTGGTGTTTTTTTAGCATTATGACTCGAACAAAAAGGACAAGGTACATTTGAGAAAGCTAATAAGATTTTTGTTGCACATTTGAATTCTTAAGTTGTTTTGTTGTTGTTTTGCAGGAGCATTGGCACTAGCAAAGTGACTATACTTGGATACGGGCTGCTCACGATGGACGCACGCCCCCTGCTGGAGGCCCTGAACAAACAACGATTCGGTGTCATCCTAGTGGATGAATCCCACTACCTGAAATCTCACAACGCAGCTCGTAGTAAAATATTGGTGCCAATCATTCAGAACGCCAAGCGTGCCATCCTTCTAACTGGCACCCCGGCGCTGGGCAGACCAGAGGAGGTACGGTTTCCTCCAAATCTGTTTGTCATTTGCTTTGATTTATTAAGCCATTTGGTAATATGCAGCATGGTTTTGTTTGAGCTAAACCAGGAGGAGATCTTGTCATTAGCTGACATATTTCCCATCCTCCAGTCATCGCTCATGTCACCCAAAATTGCGTGTACGATAATATAATAAGCTAAAAGTTTTGATAAGTTTCCCCCGTCAATATTACCACTAAGTTATTAAAATCATTTATTTTACTATTGTACTCACTATAAAATTATCCGATTACTACATGGAGTTCTTGTGCGGCACATTAGTTTACATTAGGAATAAACATTTATAGTCATTCTCATTTTTTTGTAAAGTGACAGCTTGAAATTTGTCACACAGTTACTATCTCGCTGGTCTAATGACTCGCTCGCAGCAAAATTAAATTAATCAATCAAACAAGAGATCATTTTCAACGTGGATCCTTTTATACGACGCAGCCTAGTAATTTGACACCAGTGTCAGATATTTTATCTCATTTCATGTGGTTTTGTCCACCTTGTTCGATTTCCCTCGATATTACATTGGCGGGGGTGTTTATTTAACCCATTGACCTCTGTTGAGGCTGACTATCAATGCCAAGGGGTGACGTGAGAAAAAATGTGGGGATTTTAAGTGATTTTAGAGCCACGGCTCTGAATGAGATGGAGGGGAGAGAGAGAGAGAGCTCTTTCACAGGTCTCAAAAGCACAACGCTCATCTCTGCTGTTATTACTCTGTCCAGAGGTGTGACAGTAATATTTGTAGTTTCCACAAACACCCTTGTCCTCACACTGTCTCACTCTGTTCCTGTCTCTCGCTCACTCTTTTTGCACAGTCCTTTTTTTCTTTTTTTTTACATTGTCTGGGTCTTTGCTTTCATGTCACAATTTGTGACTCTGCAATGCCAGTTTTAGAAATGCAAGAATCAGGCTGCTGTATTCTAGTAGATTTTAATCAGAGTGGATACATTTAAAGGGATAATTCAGCCAAAAAATAAAAATGAAATGAAAATTAGAAGTTGTTCCAAACCTGTATAAATTTCTTTCTTCTGTTGAACATAAAAAAAAAGATATTTTGAAGAATGCGGCTAATCAAATGGTTAATAGGCCCCATTGACTTCTATAGTATGGAGAAAAATACTATGGAAGTCAATGGGGACCATCAGCTGTTTGCTTACCAACATTCTTCAAAATATGTTCTTTTGTGCTCAGCAGAAGAAAGATTCTTACAAGTTTGGAACAACTTGAGGGTGAGTAAATGATGACAAATCTGGGTGAACTATAACTTAAATTGAAGGAGTTAAAACTTACAACAATATACTCCTGTGTACCTGGGTGTCAATTGTTCAAATATTTCTATACATTTCCAGTGAACAAAAAACATGGCCAGTGAATTCTGGAAGACTTTGGTCAGGGTGGACGCCATATTTAGTTTGAGGTAAACGAAAATGACTCTTTAACAATGTGTTGTGACGTTGCGTACACAAGTGTCAATCGTTCACTGAAAATTTTTTATTTCCTGATTTCTAGTTCCGCTTCTCTTTTGAAATTGTTCGTAAAAACCATTCCTACAAGCAGAACGAATTCATGAATAATTTCTCAGAAAATTGTTCACAAAACCACTTATGAGCACTTATTGAGATCCAAGATGGCGCCGCATATGGCTGCCTCGGTGTGGAGCTCTTCAGTTGTTTTAATGTTTTTGTTAGTTTTTCCTGTCTGTTGTTTTTCAAACACAATAAGTTTTACTAGAGATGAACTGCTAAACATTCGGTATACACTGACAAAGGAGATCAGAGTGGCTAAGAGGAGCTACTCTAAAAAGTTGGGAAACCAGTTTTCAGCAAACGTGAGGTTGAGAAAAGGTCTGAAAGACATCACAAACTACAATATGCCATCCCCCAGCACTGAGGTGAATTAACAACTTACTGAAGACCTGAATGAGTTTTACTGCAGATTTGAAACTCCCGGTCTCACACCCCACACCCGCTCTGACCATCTCTCTACACAGCCATTAACACCTCCAGCAACCCCCCTCTCCCCCTCCTGCACTTCAGATCAGTGAAGATGATGTGCGTCAGGTCTTCAGGAAACAGAAAGCACCAGGCCCAGACGTTGTTTCACCAGCCTGTCTGAAAACCTGTGCTGACCAGCTGACCCACATCTTCACACAGATCTTCAACAGATCACTGGAGCTGTGCGAAGTCCCTGCCTGCTTCAAACG